TTTATGAAGAAGCACTATATGGTTTCAGTCGAAATGATGTAATGGATGTTCGTTTTCAGTTTCGGTAAAAGTTTCGGTTGGACTCTAATTATAAGATAGAAATATAACGATAATTTTTATTAACGATAATTTTTTAATTATTAATTTTACTATGTAATAATTATAATATTTAACCCTCTTATCAATACTCAAATTTCCCTCTTTAATTTTTATAAAAATTTTATATAATTTTTATAAAAAATTATAATTCAAATCTATATAAAATGATCTAAATAATGAGAATCTTGCCGGGCTAAGATATATTTTGTCGGGAAATTAAAAAAATTTTTAATTAAAACCTCAAAAAGAGATACCCGGGTAAGAGGATTAAATAAAGTAAAATAAATTCCATTTTTGCTAAATTATTTTGTTAAATTAGAGATTTTATGTCATAAATATTTTATATATTTATATATTTTTTTATGTTTCTTATATTTGTTTTTCTCTATTTTTGAGAATTAAAGGAAAAAAGAAGAAAATAAAAAATCTTTTCTAATTATAATTCCAAATAATTATAGCTAATTAGATGAATAATACACTATCGATAAATTTTAATAATTTTTTAAAATCACTCCATCTTACCGATGCATAATATCGTAAGGACAACGAGGGCAAACCGCATGGTAATGTAACTAGTATTGGCTTTTGACTTCTCAGTATAACCATTTGTAAGTTTTTTCTAAGATATTCAGATTTAGCATACCAATCTGTTTCAAAAGCTGCTTGTGCTACGTTTGTACTCTGTGAAATTTGTCCATACAATTAATAAAATATAAATTATGTATAAATGTAATTATGTTATTCTTTATAAATAATTTACTTACTACATGAATTAAATGTTCCGCTGGCCAGGCATACATAAATACTTCTAATAATGCACAGCTTGATAAAAGAACACACTGAATCTTCAAAGATAATGGTACCTTCTATTTCAACAGATATGAACCGCTACCATTAGGAGAAATGTTAATAATATGATACTAATTTTTAAGAATATTAATACGTTTGTGTTAAAACGTAGAAAATAGTTTATTGTATAATATATTCTCTTGCAAATTTATTAATGCAAATATTAATATTATTATATTTTGTGAGTTTTATATTTAAAACATTATCACAAAAAACATTTATTTATATATAAAAAATGATGTGTGAAATATCATGTGTATTTCTAAATTGTTGGGTGTATACATATATTGAAATAAATTTGAATAAAAAATATTTTAATTAATGTTATATTTACGATAATAATAATGTTGTAACAATATAATGATGTTCTTAATACATTCTTATCATTTTCTATGATTTAATGGGGTTTTTCAAGACCTAGGCGAATTTTAAATTATTCTGTCTCAAATTCGATTTCTGCGAACTTAGTACTGACTTTAAGAAAAAAATTTTGTTTAATACGCATTAAACCAAGCTCGATTTGCACTACTTTCCTTTTCATTTGTATCTTGAGAGATTTAACTATAAAGGATTGAAAAAATGCCAGCATCTCACTTTAAGATATTTAAAATCTATAAACAGATGCTGTTTCGGGATTGTTTGTATTTGTATTACCATCGATTTCGTTTGTACTTAAGAAAGTGATTGTAGCGAATTTTCAAACCAGGGATGAAAGTCTCATATTCGTTTGATTATGTTTCTGTTTTTAAGATTGAAATAGATTTCGATATTCACAGAACTGGATAAGTATTTTTAAAAAATCACAAAAAAATAGTTAAACACTAAGATCAGCTTTAACCGAAAACAGATCTATTTCTTTTATGGAGATCCTGAAATCCGAATTTGACAAGATTATTTTACAAATAAAATGTGCCACGTCGACATATATTTATCACTATTACATCAATATCTCATGCACACAAGAAAAAAAAAGTAATTACGAAACAAAAATTATTGTGTTTACTCGGTAATACAGACGACTTTAGGATCCTCTTAATTGAAAAAAATATAATATCATGCGTTATCACCGGACGGAAGTACAAACGGATACAAACGATCCAAAAACAGCATCTATTTATAGATTTAAAATATTATATCTCAATATGGAGTGCTGGTATTTTTTTCAATCTTTTATACTTTTCAATCTCTTGAGGTACAAATGAAAAGGAAGGTGGTACAAACGGGTACAAACCGAGTTTAATTTAATGCGTATTAAAAAAAATTTTTTCTTAAAGTCGGGTTCTAGATTCACAGAGGTCCAAATTCGAACATATAAAAAAAGTGAAAATCGTTTCGAGTCATGTCATTGTAAAATTGTTCTTGAATGTTGAAAAAAGGTACCAGAATTTTTTTAGATTTTTTTTAGAACTTAAAAATTTTTTGAAAGACACAATCAGGCACTGATGACCTGAACTAGGAAACAGTAAAAATAAAAACGTTGGACCATGGGAGGGTTAATTAGGTATACAGTATGCTATAATTGCATTGAATTATACTTACTGCAATAAAAACAAGGCCAAATGTTATTAATGCTACAGTAGTGAAAAGTACAGTTACCATTGCAAAGGGTCGAACTGTAAGGGTTACATCTTCTGCATATCTAAAAATCATTTGAAATATTTTGTCTCATATAAGGGATGATAATATAATATCTATTTAAATAGATAATTTTAATTTTTAACAGTTAAATATATGCAACAAAATTTTAATGTTTCACACATGCAATAAAATTTTCATTTTACATCCTTTAAAAAGTCATACTTGATTAATTTTTGATGCTTTTCGATACATTTCGCGAGATTATAGATATTCGTAATTGTTCGGAATTCTTCAGTCAACAATTTAAATCTCGCTGAAGTCAACCAGAGCAAAAGCGCCATGAAAGCGTTAACACATAAATGTGCAGATATGAACAGACCAACTATAATCTGATGGATATATGTAATAGCTCTTAATGGTTGATGAGACGCATCAAATGGAAATTCAGCAGCTGTTGGAAGCGGCTGATCTAGCATGACAGGTCCGATGAAAAGGCCGAAGAGACTCATGTAGAATAAACTTATGCAAAAACCATAAAAATTGGAATACTTATTAACATACTCCCGCTGAATAATCGTTTCCTCGTGAGGCTTGATCAATGCGCAAAAATTTTCCATTTCGAGAGTAACGAACTACAATTAATTAAAATTATATTATTCCGATTCATAATACGTGAGAAGAAAATTTTATTTTTTAGAAGCAGAATATATTAAATACTTGTAATCGTTGATAAATAATTAGGTGACATAGAATGTTGCCAATAACGTGGCTAAGCGTGACCAAAGAGAACAATGATCTCATAAAACTATCAAGATTATTAGTATTTTTATTCTTCACAAGACCATATATTACCGACGCTATTATGCCTGCAGTCATTAATATACAGATATATTGATATAACTTCACGCACAAAATTTTGCATTTAGAAGTGCCTAATGGTAGTGGCCAAAACCATATAACAAACAGACTCAACTTCATGATGGCAATCGTTTTCTTTAGCGTTACTCTCTCTTGCATGACTACGTTTTAAATTACGTACAATTGTAATTCTGTGAAAAGTTTTACTTAAGAAACTATATACTGTCTTGAAAATCTTTTCTTTACATCAAATACACACTATTTCAATAATATTCTTACAAAATGTACGCTAAGTGAAAGCGCGGAAAAACCGATGTCAAAATGTATTGCATTATTTATTACTTTTTAATGTAAAAAGAGTATGCGTGCATATGAAAACAAGTAATGTAAGATTTTATTACAGTTCTACTGAAATATAAAAATATCGATTGAAAAAAAATTACAAAATGGATGCAACATGAGGCACGCATGCATTCTTCTCTGCGTATTCTTTGAAAACGTTAAGTGGCAGAAAATAATTTATTAGTTATGCAGAACTTGAAATGTGAGTTGTGGTATTACGTAGCAGTTGTTTCCCGCACTGTTGAAACATTGATGAATCTTCTAACGTACCTTAATTGAGACATGGGTGAAATGAGTGAAAAGTGAAAAAGAAATTCTCTTATATTCGCGGACTAGTGAAGTCTATAAACTTATAAAATTGTTTCTCAAGCAGATAATTTAGTCTATTCTTAGCTATTAGTTTCAGTTTTCCTAAGTTAAAATAGTTTTTAAATTTATTATTTTTTCTTAACTTAATATTTTTATTATTGTATATAATTACATAAATTATAAAAATAAGTAAAGTAATACAAATTTTGCAATTCAATAGAATAATACATTTTTAAAAACTTTATAATTTTGCATATATAATTCGTTATTTAAATATATTCACATTTCAGCAAGAATTTTTAACAATAAATAAGTAAACTATAAATTGACTAGATAAATTATTAATAAAAAAGCTTGCGGTTTTGATTTATGATTATGAGAAATAATTAAGAAAAGATATAATTAAAGTGTAGTAATGTTTAGGAGATATCCCCTCAAATTTTCAACAATAACTTAAAAGTTCATTTGGCATATGTAAGCTGGGGAATTAAAATGTGCAATGGAATCCAATACGCAAGAGGATTTCAATGGTGATGTACAATAATAAATATACATGCATGAGAAGAATTTCTGTAATATTAGATTCTCGTTTATATATAGCGTGTATGTAAGTAGGGTAAAGTTGCCGAAATTGTACTGACTCCTAAATTGCACTGCTACTTATATCGACATATTCCCACTTTAATAATTATAAAGTAATCCTGAAAATTTCAAAATGGAACTTGAATGGACTGTAGTTAAAAATTTTGTTGTGTGACGACGTATTTCCGCAATACAGAAATTGTTAACAGAATTTTTTAATTGTAGTCTGTTCGAGTTCCATTTTAAAATTAGAAAGATTACTTCATAATTGAAATAGGAATATGATGATATTTTTACAAAATTTTTTAATTAGTGAGTTGATGATGACAAATGTTAATAAAAATTGTAACTAAATGGAAAATAATTTATTTATATGAAAATGATAAAATGATTAAAAATAACCAACCAAACAGTTTAAGATCTTTGAAATCGGTCTCTTGCATTTTTTTGTACAACTAATAATTTTGATGATACAATAATTTAAATGTTTGCATGAGCGACGTTTTTTATGAATTTCTGCAACTTACAAGCGTGTATAACTTCACAAAAAAAGATCTAAATTTTTTTCGCGAAACACGTGTCTCATGTTTTTATCTGTAGAATATGTCAGCAAATTTAAAAAAAATAATAAAAATGACGATGCTTGAAAAGCGCTCGGTTTGACGTGGAATGCTTTAAATACGAACCGAGTCAAATTATTAGTAGTATTTTCTCAGATCTTACGCGTTTATGTAATATATTATTCAATAAAATATAAATATTCAACAAAATTAAAAGTTAAAAATTATCTGTTTTACCTTGCAAAAATAGGCAAATTACAAGATAGAAGAATTTCGTCAAAATTCATTGTATCGAAAAAGCATTTTATAGCATTTTATAGCTTGAAATTTGTATTTTTTCGATCGGTACTTTAGAAAACGGTGTTACTGATATTTTATGGAATTACAGAAACATAAACGAAGATATCATAATGTTGTGAAATCACAATGTTCTTTTTAAAAAAGATAAGTTGTATAATATCTTTCATTTTATCAATAAACCTAGTTGTTTCATAAAATTTCTCTGATTATTTTTAGGCTTCTGACTACTTACATGATGTGTATGTTTCTTAATATATGAGTATATTTGTCTTTCATTCTTTGCGATTTGTATTTCTAAACATAACATCTCTAATCTAGCAGAGGAATACAAGAAGAATACAGCAAACAGGAAATTCATATTGCTGCAAGTAAGTCCACATTGCACAATAACTTGCATAACATAGATAAATATTACAAATGGTTTCAGTAGGAAGTGGATACAATTCTTCAGAAGGAAATTTTCTCAAACTAAATGTCGGGATGTAACAAAAAGTGGTTATTGTTGAAGATATTGCAACAGATATAAATAACAAGGCATAACGATTTATGATTTTGCAGAATAATCTTTTCATGGTCATTGAAAGCAAGAAGAAAATTCTATATCTCTTTCAAAATGTGCTAAATTTAATTAATATTTTTAGTAATAAGCTGATAAATATACATTTAATGTTAAGGAAAAGAATCACATACTTCACTTCATCCGAAGAACATCCCATGGATATATAACGTCCACGATAATATCTATATATAGTATCATATAGATATTGGCTGCGTTCAGCGGATTAAACAGATAAGTGACCGTTCGCTTATTGGTGTATTCTTTTAGATTATCCGAAAATGCTGATTATCCAATCAGCATTTTAGATCTGGATCAGCAAACGCTCGTTTAATTATTGAGTTTGCTAAACATAGCTATTGTGATATCCGTGCGACATCCCACGGATTGTGCTGTATAAGAATATTTTTTCCGAAATATAATTAAGTAGGTATTTTTGAAAAAATATTAACCATGTATCTAATCATTTTTCATATTATCGAGTAAATATAATCAAGATATCTCTCTCTCTGATTTTCATACATTAAAAGAAAAGTACTTGATTATATAATTGTATTAGGTGTACAACTTTGCTTCCGCCGTTTTTTTTCCGAAATTCGAGGCTTATTGTAAAAAACTGATTATACATTTATGATTCAAAATATTGTCCATCGCTGGCCACTACTTTCTCCCATCTTTCGGGTAGCGTACGAATCCCGCGTCGAAAAAACTGGTCTTTTGAGGCTATCCATGAATCGATCCAATTTTTTACTTCTTCATAAGACCGGAAGTGCTGGTCAGCCAGGCCGTGTGCCATTGATCGAAACAAGTGATAGTCAGAGGGAGCAACGTCTGGAGAACGGCGGGTGGGGTAGGACTTCCCATTTCAACGTTTCCAAGTATGTCTTGACCACTTTCGCAACATGGGATCGAGCATTGTCATGCTGCAAAATCACTTTATCGTGTCTCTCGTTGTATTGCGGCCGTTTGTCTTTCAATGCTCGGCTCAAACGCATCAATTGCGTTCGATACCGATCGCCTATAATTGTTTCAGTCGGTTTTAACAGTTCATAATACACTACGCCGAGCTGGTCCCACCAAATACAGAGCATGACCTTGTACGTCAAAATCACCGTTCTTGAAGCGTTGAAACCACTCACGACACGTTCTTTCACTAATAGCGGCCTCACCATAAGTATTTGAGAGCATTCGATGAGTCTCAGCCGCAGATTTCTTCATATTGAAGCAAAAAATTAAAACCTCCCGCAAATGACGAGAATTTGGCTCGTAAACTGACATTTTCAATCGAGAATAACTTTATGATGCAGACACAAATCGACTAATGTTTCTATGGGGTTGACAGATGCCCAAGTTTATTGTATGACGTCTATGATCTATTTATTTCGACCACCACTTACCGCTAAAGCCATCTATAGCCATCCAAACGACGGAAGCAAAGTTGTACACCTAATATATTAAAATATTATGTTAAGAGTTTTATTTTTGTAGTTATTGTTATAACATTAGTAGTATTATATACTTAACTTCAAAATGAGTTGTAATTTTATAATCGTTTTTCATATATTCTTTTTGTTATATATATAATCATGTTTTCTTAATTATAATATTTTACTATGCAATATTATATAGAATCATAAATATTAAAAAACTTTTTTCTCAGTGTAGTAGATAATATTACTAAATAAATTATTATGAGTAATATTATTATTATTATTTTGATCATATAGTTATAAGAAGACTATTTTAAATAGAATGCGCATATACACTCTTGTTTGCGTTTTTCGTTCTAAATATGAAGATGTTGCTTAAACTCCATCCATACAAGTAAATTCCACTATTAAAATATTTATTATTAGCGTTACATTGGCTGCGTTCGAAAATATAAAATGTAAGGTTAAACAAGGACAAGATGAATCCAAGGCATCGAACGACATTTCTGATCGCAGCCATTATGTCGATATTCATAGCACACATAATGTATGACAATTATGTTCAAAATGTTAAAATTGCAATTTATTTTCTAAGAAACATACGAATTTGCCGATATCAGCATCCAGTCATATACGACATACTATTACATATTTGTAAAAAATGAAATATCTGAAATATAAATTTCGTATATAATAATTTCTTCATTATCTGAACAATTCAGATTTGCAAGAATCAAGAAGCACCATTTGCCCTTTGACGAATAGAATACTTTTAAAGAAATTGGAAATGAGAATTAAATGTAAATCAATAGTTCATATGTTATGAACTATTATATATATTATATAAAAATTGCGATTGTTATAGGAATATATAATGTCAAACAGTTGATTAATAAATTATTCCATCTAGAAATAAACAATATAATATCTAGAAATAAACGGTATTTATTCAAATGAGTGATTAGTTACTGATTACAAACAGAAACAATATTATACAGGATATCATCTGAATATTTTAGTTTGAATTTAGGGGAAAACTTAATTAATTCTGGGTAAAAGCATTTCAACACGTGCACAAAT